AAAATAATTGAAAAGTTTGCCATTTATTTTAAACCACCTTGTCTTTTTATTTATGGTTTAAACGTTATTTTTTAATGGATAAAGCAATTAATTAAATTATATCGTATTAACAAACGAAAAATACCTTGAAAAATAAATTAAAATAAGCGCACACCGTTACACAAAAAGCACGCACACACACACACACATATATATATATATATATATAGTGGTATGCGCGAAAACTTTTTATTTATGTTTCGCGCCTTTTACTCGAACATTATCAAAGTATAACTGAAAAAATCTCATTCCTGCGTAAAAAGAGTGAAATGCAAGCGAGAAAACAATAAATGGCTACGTATTCCATGTTTACATACTCTGTTCGGGTATTTCACATCAATTATTGATCATATAAACATATATATATATATATATATATATATATATATATATATATATAACTCTATCTGTAGCGGGTGGGTAAGGAGAAAACGTCTTATCCTTTTAATTCTATGAATTTGCAATTGTAATATTATCGTCGTACAAAACTAATGAAAATACGGCATTTAGTTTACATTACATTTTATTCAATTTCGGACTTTGTTAATTGCTGCTGGGTATAAGTCTTTGGGGTTTCTCGGAACGTACATTCTACATCTCGCGAGGACATGAGAGACTCTCCTCTTCACTCTCTTGGGTAGGTGTGCATATACCTGGCCATCATACGGCCTTTCCCTTGCGTACACATCACAGGTGCAGTTGTGTCGAACACGTGTTTACATGTCAGTAGAAGCCAATGGCACTAGGTTCAGTGCGGATCTATGTGCACCTGGTGGCTAGGAGGCAACCCACACTGAAGATATAATGCTCTGTACAAAGTTCATTTTGGTAACATCTGGGTGAGTTACATACTACAAAATATATCTTCATAAAATCCAATTGCATAATTCTTGGTATTTCTGTACTTATTTTTCAGTTATGCTGTGACTGATTTCATGTTGAACTAGAAGACTAGAAAGAGTATCACATTACTAAACCTAATTTTAAAATAACTTTACATTAATTCTCAACTGATAAATGCAAAATGTAAAGTGAAAGATTCTCATAAAAATAAATCAAATAACAGTTAACAAACGGCTTTTCACGCAGTTATTCAACGAAAATTGTCGAAGCTAAAGTTGCTTCTTCCAATGCTTTTTCAAATAATTCTCTCGAAATATCGTGGATGTTATTAAAACAACGAACTTTTATTAATGAGTCTATCTTGATTTGAAATTATATTTCCCTTCTTTCAGAATTCCTAGTTAAGAGCTCAATTATGAGTTATAATTATAAATGCCTGTGTCAGAAGGAAAGAAGGAAAGGAAGAAAATCCAGCATTTTCGAAAAACGGGAACAAATAAATTGATAAACAACAATTCTAACGTAACCATATCCCGCTTCCTGTTTTACATTTGTTCTTAATACTCTTTACTTCGGACATCAGTTGTTCGTAATTTTCAGATTTATTGTTAAGAGTCGAATTCTTTTTATTTATTTTTGTTCTTAGCTTAGTTTATTGTGAGATTGAAGTGAATACAGATGAAGACTTTTTTCGTAAGTTTCAGTAAATAATTCATTCAACCAATGCGTTTGTTTCGTTCCCATTAACTTCGCCTCAATACTTTTCTGTAAACCTGACAAAACATTATACTTCCTCTGAAATTTAAGGAAATTAAATTTTTTTACGGCGCCTTTTAGATTTTCATTTTTTTTTAAAATCATTTCAGCCCATGCAAGGCGTTAATGTCACTAAGACGCAAGGGGGGTTAATGAGAAGACTTTAGAAGCAACCGGAAACCCAACCCTAAACAAGAAACAAATGATAATACTCTACTCCTGTTCAAAAAAAAAAAACGGGGAGGAATGTGAGAAAGAACAAGATCTAATTCGTAATTAATGCATTTTCTAGCTGATTCATTCTTTCTTCGTGAAAATGTAAAATTTTCCTAATTGCTTTTTCCTTTATTGTTTTGATTTATTTCCCTTGCTATCTCATCGATTTAATATACAAAACATGCTACATAAGAATTAATAGTTAAGTCATTCACTTGTATTAATTCTTCTTTATTTTCTCAAAGAACCACAGAAATAATTCTTGTGTTAAATTTCGCACGAACCAAGTAATTAAATGATCATATTTTATTTTTATTCATAAGGAAATATTTGTGAATGGCATCTTCAGAAAAGAAGGAAAGGATTAGATATCAATAAATCTTTACGTGATATTAGAAAAAAATTACTTGACTGAATACAGAGACTGCCCTGAAAAAAAAAAAAACAATAAAAAAAACTGAAATTAGATTTTAAAATAACTTTTATTGGCATTCTCTTAATTTTCATTTAACGCTCAGTTTATTTTAAGATAACTTTTCCGATGCGACCAAAGAAAATTAAGATAAAATCGTGGTCGTAAACGAATATGATTTTAACTTGCTTGAGAATTTAAAGTTATTTTCGATTCAGGTTTTTTAAAATTTTGGATGAATCAGTTGTGTGCACCACGAAACTATGATATAAATAAAATTATATAAAAAGTATCGGAAATATGCATACTTAAAAAGAATAAACATAATAATTATTACATAGAAAAAGTGGGTTATATTTTTAAAATAGAAACGAGATAAAGAGTTGCAATCAGATCAACTTTCAGATGTTAGAAAGACGACACTTGCGCATGCGTACTTATTTCTGGAACTTTTAACACGTGTTAGAAATATTAAAAGAAGAGTTAAAAGAATATTGAGTATGCATGAGTTGTTTTTTATTATTTCTTAAATTTCAAAATTAATCTGGAAACTGAAAACAAACACACACTTCCACAAAATTAGGTACCTCCAAAAATTTTCTAGAAAAGAGCATACCATTAGGGAAAAAGACCCCAAATGTGATAATAAACAAAGTTTTTATGTTGTTATTAAGAGAAAAACTAAAGTATTTTTGATTATTTTATTATTATTGTTTGAATCCTTTCTAGAACATTCGAAACTTTACTTAAAAATCTTGTTTTTTCTTGCGTCAGCCGGTGAGCCAAATGGATAATTTTAGCGTTTTTTGTTTTGTTTTGTTTTTTTTCGTTAAAAACACAAAAATAAAATAATGGCTGGATTTTAATGAAATTTTCAGAACTTCAAAAGTGAAGGAAATTATTTTTAAATGTCATTTTTTTAGAAAATCTTGGAAACCTTTTTGTACATCGGTTACCTTACGTAACTATTGGTTTTCGATTAATAATGAATTTTTACAAGAATTATTTTCATTTTTTAAATTTTAATTTAGAAAATTTTCTTAAGTTTTTCTAATTAAAATTAATAAAAAAATGAAAATAATTCTTGTAAAATTTCACTATTCATCGAAAAAAAACTTTAAACATTGTATTAATTTCATCCTTTTAGATGATATTATTAAGCGAAAACTATATTTACTAATCATAAATGGAAAAGCTTAATACAAATCATCAAACAAATAATTTTAAAATAATTTTGAATCTTTTTTGTTAGTGTATAAATGTGCTGATTTTTGTAAGTACGGGCGATCATACACGATATTATCAAAAAAATACGAGCGATAGCTATAACATATTTAAAGCCAAATTTTCTAAAATTCAACAAAACATTAGATTACTTAGAATATTTTCCTAAATTTTAAGATTCCCGAGTACTTAAAAATTATATGCAAAAGGCGCTCACATCATTTTCTTCATTAATACTTTAGAGATAAAGTCTCTGTAGAACAACATTAAACCTGTTAGCAGATTGTCAACACGTCAACACAACATTAAAAAAATGCATTTCTTCGATATGTTAAATTTAAAGTAAATAATATTTGTTTCAAATCAGATTAATTATATGTTAAATCAACTAACATTACTGAAATAAAGTTTCTGAAAAATATATTTTATTTTGGGGAGATCTTTTATTAAAGAGAATTACATTGCGATGAAAGACGACTAAAAAAGGTCGCTAATCAATTATTTTAACACCCCTCCCTTACCAAAAAAATTAATCCTTTCAGTCAATTTAAATTAGTTTTTGAAAAGTATTTTTCTATTGAAATTAAAACAAAAATTAAAGCTTCAAGAAAGAAAAAAAATCATTTTAAAACTTAGGTATCGCGAATTAGTGGAGGGTATCTACACAAGTACTGCTACTGCGATTTCAAGTGCTATGTCCTTTCATAGCAATCATGACTTTCCACATACTTTGTGACCTTAAGCAGTGTTACTATCCCTCCTAGTTTATGTTCTGACATCCATGTACACAAGCTAGGTAGGTAAATTAATCACTGTTTCCCTCTTCTCTTCTTGACTTTAGTATTTCCTGTATGTATCAAACTTGCCAGTCCTTCTTTCCTCATTATATGACCGAGAAATTTCAATCGTTTCTTTCTGATTCTAACTATGTATACTTTTGTTCACCTTTTCCTTAAAACTTCTTCGTTGTTTAATTGTTCCGTCTATGGTATTCTCAGAATACTTCATCCTCAGAAACAACAACTATTGCTACTACTAATAATAATACTACTATTACTACTAATAATAATTATAAGAAGAACAACATGTTCAATAGACATCTTGCCATATAAAACTGAACTGATTTTTCGCAAATCTGGATTATCCTCTTGATACAGACACAAAATGCACTTGAAAGTATAAACTATTATATAAACTATATATAATATTATATATGATGTTAAAATCACCCAATGGTAAAATGTATAATGTGATCAAAATTACATTGCGAAATGTTGCCTGTATAATAAATAAATGAAGAAAAACCTTTCTCTTTTAAAAACGAAAAATAGTTATTGTTGTTTTGTGCAACTTCGGCAGAGAAATTGATAAAATCCCATGACGGCATGAAATAGTTGAAGTGTCTGAGGTCAAATTGTTTCGGCAAAGATATACAACAGTTCGAATGTATAAATAAAATGAGATCTATACAAGAAATAAAACAGACAGTCTCGAGTCTGTCTCACAGAAATTAATGTGGTATAGGGATTGGTTCGGCCCTGTTAACGGCTGACTTCTGTGGACGTAACTGAGGCTTAGGAGACCACAAGAAGATAGAGAGCGAATATGGCAGAGAATATAAGGAATGGGAGAGGGGGGTCAGTAAAACGCTGAGTAAGCGAAATATTTAATATGGACAAGGCTTATAGGATGAAAAATGTGTGCGTGGGTATTAGAGAAGAATCAAAATGATGAAAAGAGGCTGTCATCAGAAAACTGATTTCTTTTGAATAAAAAAAAAATAGAGACCAAAAATTGGAAGGCTTAACTGGGAATATTAATGGATAGTTTGTGCTCCTCGGTAAAGTTGGAGATTAAATTTATGATACCAAATGCCAAGATGTAATAGAAAGATTCAGTGACACAGAAAGACACAAACGTATTTATCTTGATACAATTAAAACATTCACCATTTGCACTCTCTACACAATACAACAGTAAAAGAAGCGGCAATGTTCTCTGAAACTATTAGCTTATACTTGATTTTTAATAGCAAGAACAGATGAACGGAAAAATCTTAGCCACAAGGGAATATAATCTTCTTTTCTAGCATTTTTAAGAAGGACACACGCGTATACATCAATCTCCTAATCTAATTCATTTCTTTTTTCAGACATCAATTTTCACGTTTTTCGTATTGGCAATTTTAAATTCATTAACAGACATTTTTTTAGTCTAATATTTATAAAATGAACCTAAAGGTGGTTGTAACAATGGTGTGATCAGCCCCAAATTTTGAAAAGATTCTTATGTGTCTGAGTTGCGGGTGTGTACAGATGCTTGTGTAGAAAATGGAATAGACATTGCGAAAAAAAAAAAAAGAGGAACACATTAAAATTATCGTGTGGCTTGAGAAATATAAAGAAATTGGAATCTGAAGAACTCAAAAATAAATTCATGAACTCAGACGAGAAGCCATCCAAGCCATCGTGAGAGAGAGAGAGAGAGGGAGGAGGAAAGAGAGCGAGAGAGGGAAGGAGAGAGAGGTGGTTAGAGAGAGAGAGAGAGAGGGAGAGGGAGAGTAAAATCCAAACAGAAATAGAAAACACAACCACGAAGATTGACAGATGTAGCAAGGAAGATAAGGCATTACGAGGATATATAAATAGAAGAAAAGATAGGACAGCTATTCAATGTGACACATGCTTATAGTGGGAGTTACATAGAAAAGAAGCACATATACGACTCATTCAATGGACAAGTTGTTGTCAAGGAATTGAGACAAGCGTAAGCCACCCTTAGGTAGCCGAGGATTTAAAGATAAACATAGGAGGGAGGCAAATAACTTGAGAAAGAGAGAGTGAAAGGGAAAAGAGAATAAAAAATGAAGTGAATGTCGGAAGCAGTAATGAGACGAAGGAGAGGTTGAATTGCAACCGGCACACAAGCAGGGAGGCAGCCGAGTTTGAGTCGGTATAGACAAGATACCAGGATTACAACGCAGAAAGACGGGGAATAGGGAAAATGGAATGGTCGGGTGGGAACAGAATAAATTAGAAAGAAAGAAAATCATAAAGAGGAAAGAAAGGAACAAAAAAACCGAAGAAAACTCTTTGTACATCCCTGTTATCTCTTCACTCCCCTTTGTCCGCCCTGCCAAGATAACCACAACAGAAAAACACTTTTTTCTGTCTACATTTTCATTTTGTGAAGCGATGTTTTATGTCTGGCTAGCCAAGCTATGATTCATCTAACACCGACCCGAACCTAACTGAGTTAGAGTGGCCGAAGCAATCAGAAGCTTTTTCACCGTACTGAAGACCGATGTTCTTTCAAGACATCAGCCAAAATTCCTTCATTCCCAAATCTTATGAGTAACTAAAGAAAAATTCCTCTAATGCTCGACACTAGATTTTCAAAGTGATATTTATTGACACGAAAATGAAATAAAATATGAATCAAACAATAAAACAAAACTCACAATGAAAATAGAAAAAAACGTTCGCTTGATAAAATGACAGCAGTAAAAATCCAATCTATCAAAACAGAAAATCATCTTGAAATTAAATTGAATTAGAAGAGAATTATAGAAATAGAGTCACTGATGCTAAAACAATCATTGAAATATTTAATAAGGATCAGACTGCGATACAATTTACAATGTTACATTGAACAGAGTTTATTTGGTTTTCCTTTTGAAATCGTGCTTTTGCTTCGTTTCTGGCGTTTGTCCTTTCCATATTATTCACACTTTTCTTTTTCTTATCAGGAATTTTAGGTGTAACTTACTTTGTAATTAGCGTACTTTCTGTAATGGAGAAAGAGGTTTGTTCACTTAAATAAAAGCTAAAATTACGTCGAACGAGTGGCAATTTTAATAAACAAAATAAATATAAAATTAGCAAAAAGATTATCTTTGAGTGTATTTTTGTAATTTACATTTTGTTTTGTTTCGATAATGTTGCTTTTAGTTTTATCTTTAAGTCTCAGTAGGCATATATTTTTTCATTCAGTTAACGAAAACAACAACTTATCTAGAAATATCCTAGAGGAAAGAAAGGACTTTGTTGAGAACATTTTAGGTTCATTCAATTCAAATTTCTCAATAAATGTAACTTAAAGCTACTCAGTCCGCCTATTATCTATTTATTTAAAATGCACTTATATTGTGAGTTAACAAAAGAAGTGACAGGAAAAAAAGGACCTTGATCAAATATGGTTAATTTGAGAAACTGCATCTCTTAAATTAGGTAGGGAAACTTTCTCACCAGGATCCATTGCGTAAAATTGTAGCAAGTAACCAACTATCCCAATGTTTGTTTTTTTAATCACTTCTTGTCTCAACCAACAACGCACAGTTTTCATGTGTTGTTTCTGAAAGAAAATATTGAGCGAATATTAATTTTTTCGTTTAGATTACATAATCGAAAGATGCATTTGTGCTCGTCATAGAAGATACGTTTCCGCTATACATAAAGAGAGCTTTATTTCTTGTGATTGCAAAGAATTTTTGATGAGAGTGTTTTAAGAGTGCATCTAAATTTACCATTCTCAGATTTGAATTCGAATAAACCGAAAATGGTAGTGATAGCAGTCTTTGGTATATCGTTTTCTCCGGCATGGATTTGGTAGTACGCCTTGTTTAAGTGAAGTCTGGTGAAAAATTTTCATACTCTGCAATCCCACCGCGAAATCATATATATGCAGGATAGGCTAGCAATCTCGGACTTTTGACGCGTTTAGTCGTTAGAAATCGTCACACGGAGGAGGCCATGAACAACGGGGATGACCACTGGTTCTTGGAAGGTTAAATTATACCTAGCTGCAGCATGTGTTGAAATTCTTCCTTTGCCATCTTGTATTTTGCCGGGTTAAATCTCGTGGGGTCGAATGGGTCGGTTGTCCAGTCGTTTGAATGTGATGTTTAGCAGTATGTAGTACTGTGTCAGTATGTTTGAATGGGGTTGTAATCACTGGAAATTTACGAAGAATTTCGCAAAATTTCTTGTCGTCCGGTAGTGCTGAGCTGATACCTGTTGAAAGATATCGGGAAGGCGTTCCATTGATTTTTAACTGGGTTTCATTGTCTATCAGTGTCTTGGTAGCCTTGTTCACTGGTAGGTTGAAATGTATGAGGAAGTCTACTCCTAGTATAGGCGTCTTCACATCTGCTTGTATAAAAATCCACGAAAAACCACGTCGGATACCAAAATTAACGTAAGAAATTTTCCCTGGTTCAGTGGTACAGGGCTTTGTACACATTATAGCATTAGTATCAAATTTGTGATTATACCAACATATTGCGGTGTTGCGTACGCGGGATTTTGAACCGTGTCGGCTGCTACGTCTGTTTCGGCTGGAATGTCGCTGGATGTGTCCAGATCTCATTGACATGGCTTCCACTCGCTTGGTAAGGTTAGCGATGCTCGACTGGAGTTGCTGGATTTGAATCGTTTGTACGTTAATTGAATTCTGGATGCCGTTGACGTTATGTGTGTCTGCGTTTCCGCAAATTTTGTCAGCGGTTCCTGCCACTTTATCCAGGTTGTCATCTTCTAACCAAGGGGTTAATAATTTGGTCACATGGTTCGGTAGCATGTTTAGCCATAGTCGATGCAAAATATTCTCGGGCAAGATGTTAGGCTCGAGAAGACTCTTCATATGTCTCAGGAGTTGAGAAGGTGTCCTATTTTCAATAGAGACATTGCTAAAAACAACTTATTTTCTTCGGATTCGCCAGTCAGGTGTAATATTATTTGTCTCAGCGTGTCGTATTGATTCTCCTCGGGCACGACGTTTAACAAGTCGAGAATTTTGCGGGTGACCTCTGTTGGAAGCTTTTCGACAACGTAGGCAAATTTCGTCTTTTGTGAAGTCATTCTTCTTGCCATGAAAATGGCTTGCAGTTGGGGAAAACCATGTGCTGTTTAACCAGTGAACTGAATGGGGAAGGGATAGTTGTAATGATAGTGGGGCTTCAATTGGTCCTTCCATATTTACTACTATGGTAGAAGAATGCGGTATTAGGTTATTATAACCACTAATGAAAGAAAATGATTAAGCTGTGAAGTGACCGTAACTTGGTTGGTGGGTAGTAATTATAGCAGTCTACCAAATTCTAGCCACATGTTGCTCTGAGCTGTAAAAAAAAAATCATTTTTTTTAACTAATGCCCAGTAGCGATTCTAGAACTCTGACTTGGAGGCCGAGAGTTTTCTGCTGAGCAGGGGGGGGTGCAAATTCAAGCAGTGTCTTTATTTTTATACTACACCACTATCGTATGCACAACTTAGGAATGAGTTTTAGTATAAGTATGTTATTTCACTAAATTAAACGGAATAACTTTTCATTCGTGGAGTTCTTATCTATTCTTGCTCTTTTTTTCACTTTCAAGCTGTTGAACCACAAAAGAGGTTAACTTCAAAACAAAATCAAAGGGTTAATACTAACGTCAGTACTAGCAGAATAGTGTAATTCGTCTGCTCTGATTTTTTTCCTCTACAAAATTTAAAAAGTGTGGGGGGCAACCGATGAGCCAGCCAAAATAGGCCCCCTCTGCCCCTGCCCTATAGAATCGCCACTGCTAATTCCATTTTTGCAAGATGTCTTTTATTAATATATGTTTTGGCGAATATCATGTCGGCGTCACCACTTTCGAGCGGGTATATATTCTCTTGATGAGAAGTTATGAGCCCCTGGTACATTTGACCCGCTAACAATTTTTGGTGGACTCGTATAAATCCAAAGAAATAATAAGACATAGAATTTGAACAAAGAAATATTAACAAATATATTGTCAGGACATTTTACAAAAGAAAAGAAATGAAAATGTGAAAAGTTCAAAGCAACTGTGTCTGTAGTTGATTACTCACATTTTGCAGGAGCAAAAAGAATATGTCTTTACGCCATGAAAAGTCGTCGATAAAAAAAATCAAATCTTTCAAATCTAGCACCGCCCGTAAATCGTCAGTGGGGGGACGATAATTCCAAGATCTTGCCACAGTGATGTCTAATGGATGTCAGTTATCAGTTGTCTCCTGTTAATTCTCCTCTCCAAGTTCTCCTTCGCTTTCACCAGGTATTGAACTCACACTCTTTGGGTCCTGTCACTGGATCTAACTAAGTTCAGCAACAATTCTTTTTTACTAGCACTCATATTGCAATTTTTGCTGTTATCATTTCATGTTTTTTACCAGAGTTCATATTGCAATTTTCGTTGTTATTATTGCTTTTCTCTGGCACTCCTTATTACTGGTTTCCATATTGTATTCATTTCTATGCTTCATCGGCTCAGGAGATTTTTGTGGCCTAGCATATGTGCTGACTCCTTAAGTTTACGAATTTTCCAATGACGTTCTTTGTCTATGATTTCACCCTGATTCCACAGAAGGCGGTGATCTCCCTTTTCTCTCCACATGTGATCAGCCATGCCTGATTTTTCCACTTCCCCTCGTGTTACAGCTTTCTGGTGTGCTTGAAGCCTTACCTTAAGGGGGCGGCCTGTCTCCCCTTTATATTTCTTTCCGTAGCTTCATGAGATGGGGTACACACAGACTTTAACTATTTTCTCTTCCATGGGAGGGGGATCTTACTCGGGAGAGATATCTGCGAAATGTCGTCCAGCTTTTGAAGGTTGTCCTGATGTTATATGGACCGCAGATGCTTTGTATTTTCTCTGATAACCCCTTCACATAAGGCAGCCAGACTGTTTTCTGAGTGTTGCTGTCCTCTTCTTGTACCCGCCTACAACAGTTTATTGGGGCTGCCGCGATGTACCCAGGATAGTTGTCACGTTGTAGAGTACTGCTTATACTGATCAATTCTTTATCTAATGTCTCTGGGTCGCCACTTATGACTTTTGCTCGGTGTTGCAAGCAGGGGAATTAACAGGAGATAACTGATAATTGACACCCATTAGACATGTCACGTGGAACTAGAGCAGTCTACCCCAGTGAGCGAAATAAAAGGTTTAGTTCAACATTCCAACCACCTGAAGAAGGCCAGAGCGTATAATGGCCGAAACGTTGTGATAAATATGGCAACAAATATGAGGATGATAGTCCGAACAATGTAAATAGTGTACATATAAATCAATACTATCACTACACTCTATACTGTTTG